ACGATGCACAAATGTTTCATTGTGATTTCCTAAATTATCAAACTAACCTGCTTATTTGCACCGACCCAAGAATCACCCACTACCTGAAAATTCGCGCTCGCTCCGCTATTGAAGAAAATAGTATGTGAACCGCGAGAGAAAACGGTCGTTTGTGCATTGTATAAAGTTGAGAACCCCTCGGCTTCACCAGGGGAACCTCAACTTTATACGCGGCGCAGAAACTCCCGTTTTCGCTCACGGTGCACAATATACTATTTTATATAGTTGTAGTGAAAATCCTGCGTGTGTTGGTTTATTGAATTTAATTTTTGTTCGATTTAATTCCACTAGGATCGTATCTTCATCAAGTACGGTATAGCTATGAAAATTTGGTTTTGCAATCAGAGCCTTTGCTCCATACGCTCCGTCCCACCTAGTAACCAGTCGAACGTCCTTTTGTTTTCTGACATTTTCCATTGTTTTTCCGAAAATCGAATTGTTCATAAGTTTATAAAAATTTTTTTCAAAATCATTATTCGATTTTTTTTCTCATTTCGGTGTTCAATTCTATATACTTTTGGAGCCACTGTGTCTGTTTAAATTTTAGAATACGATGAATTTTTGTTAACTTTAGACCTAATCGCAAGCACTGTTTCAAATTCTTATAATGAATGATGTATCTATTTTTCGGGAGTAGCGAAGTTATCAATTTCGAATTTTTAGAGCCTGGAGGAGTGTATTGTTGCGGACAGAGTGGAAAATTTTTATGAAGTTCTTGAAGCTCGATAGGATACTCCAAATCAACTTTGAATATGTAACCCGTAAGAGAGTCATCGGGAATATTGCAAATATCCAATTGTTCAAAATTTTCTTCCCATTCGAATGAGCCTACTGGTAAAGATTGACTTATAGCTGCACCGTATAAATTATTTACGTCATAGTACATAATATACGATTCCTCTTTGCTTGGATCGAAATCAGCTCCCATGTACCTATTGTTAGCCCTGGCGTATCTGTTAGAGCATTGAGCTACACCACCTCACTTCTCTGTCGCCGTCCTTCACCTCTTTTTCGAAGTTTT